GGCCGCCCGCGCGCCCGCGCCCGCCCCCCCCCCCTCCCCCCCCAAGGGGCCAGGACACAGACCGGTGGTTACAATACATGGAGGAGCACCCTACTCGGGGGTGGTCCTGTATACAAACATACAACACAGGGGGGAAACGAGTGTGCCCAAGCCACAGTACTGTGGTGTCACCTGGGCTCAGGAGCGGAGGGCATGAGGTGTGGGGATGGTGGATGGGCTGCCTGACTGACCCATCCTTTCCTCTGTTCCCTGCAGTGGGACCAAGCAGGAGTAGGGGACCCTCCAGCCCTGCGGCAGCAGCAGCACCCACAACCTTCCAGGAACCGCCCAGGCACCAAGCCAGCTGGTCCGGCAGCAGGACCAACTCCTCCAGCAGAACGTACAGGCCATCGAGAGGATTGAGGCGACCATCACACACCGGGCGGATGAGGACCTGGAGTAGCGCCAGCAGGCCTGGGGCCGCTTCCAGGCTCAGTGCCAGTGCAGCGGCGATGCCATCACCGCCCTCACTGCACACATCAGGCATGCTGTGTATTATGGTATGGCATTGCCCCATGCACCTGCCATCCCTCCCATGCCAATGCCAATACCCCTCCTCCTGCTGCCCCTCCTGCTCCTGCCATGCCCCCTCCTGCTGCCCCTCCTGCTCCTGCCATGCCCCCTCCTGCTGCCCCTCCTGCTCCTGCCATGCCCCCTCCTGCTGCCCCTCCTGCTCCTGCCATGCCCCCTCCTGCTGCCCCTCCTGCTCCTGCCATGCCCCCTCCTGCTGCCCCTCCTGCTCCTGCCATGCCCCCTCCTGCTGCCCCTCCTGCTCCTGCCATGCCCCCTCCTGCTGCCCCTCCTGCTCCTGCCATGCCCCCTCCTGCTGCCCCTCCTGCTCCTGCCATGCCCCCTCCTGCTGCCCCTCCTGCTCCTGCCATGCCCCCTCCTGCTGCCCCTCCTGCTCCTGCCATGCCCCCTCCTGCTGCCCCTCCTGCTCCTGCCATGCCCCCTCCTGCTGCCCCTCCTGCTCCTGCCATGCCCCCTCCTGCTGCCCCTCCTGCTCCTGCCATGCCCCCTCCTGCTGCCCCTCCTGCTCCTGCCATGCCCCCTCCTGATGCACCCCATCTTTCCCACCTCCCCGTGCTGCTGCCCCGATGCAGCCTGAACCACATGTAGTGGTCCGCCCTCGCAGGGGCACTCGCATGGGCGACCCCTCCCAGCACTAGCTCCCTCCTCCCCCTCCCAGTTCAGAGCCCCCTCACACCCTACGTCCCCACTGTAAATAAAAAGTTCAAGATGTTGTTTTAAAAAAAACACTGTGTTGTTTATTGGGAGGTAAGGGGAGGGGAGGAGGGAAGGGTTGGGGATGGGAGGGAGATGTAAAGGGAGACAGAGGCGACCCTACTGTGGGGCCTGGGAGAACATCTCCATCAGGGTCTCCGATGTGTGCACCTCATCATGGTGCGCCTGGCGGATGGCAGTTGTGCGGGGCTGCTAGAAGGCCTGGCCCTCTCCTGCCATCCCTGCCCGGAGGAAGGCCTCCCCCTTCCTTTCCATGATGTTGTGGAGCACACAGCACGCAGCCACCACCTCAGGGACGTTCCGCTCAGCCATCTCAAGACGGGTGAGCAAACAGCAAAACCAGGCTTTCAGACGGCCGAAAGCGCACTCCACCTGGTTGCGGGCCTGGCTAAGGTGGTCCTTGAACTGCGCCCGGTCATGGTCTGTCCGTCCCACGTAGGGCTGCATTAGCCAGGGCAGCAGGGAGTAGGCCACGTCCCCCACAATACATGTGGGCGTAGGCATGTCCCCAATAATAAATTCTTGCTGGGGGAAGAAAGTGCCCGTATCCAGCCTGCTAAACAGGCTGGAGTTTCAGAGAATGTGGGCGATGTGTGCCCTACCGGACCAGCCTGCATAAATGTCCGTGAACTGGCCACAGTGGTCCACGAGGGCCTGGAGCATGATGGAGAAGTACCCCTTGCAGTTTATGAAATGGGCCACTCGATGCTCCGGGGCACAGACGGGGATGTGGGTTGCATCCAGGGCTCCCCCGCAGTTGGGGAACCCCAGGTCAGCAAAGCCAGCCACCGCAGCCTCCACGTCCCACAGGCGAATGATTCGCCGGAGCAGGACATCATTGATGGCATGGACAACCTCCAGAAGGGTGCACAAAAACACAGGGAAATGCATCACATAAGGCAGGGTGAGTGTGTGCTCCCTTGGGGGGTTCCAACCCCCCCCCCATGATGCCCTCTGTCCTCACACACACACACACCAGGGTCCCCTCGCCCCACGGGCCCACCCCCACCAGCAGGCCTGTGCAAAGGAGGGATGGCCCAAACCCATCGCCCCGGCCTGGAGTGTTGCCTGCCCCGGGCATGGAGCGCAGCACCCTCCCCCCCCCCCACTCCCTTCTGGGACTTACCTCCATCATGACGACAC